TCGCAGACGATGCGCTGCCCGCCCGCAGACTCCTCGAGAGATTTCAGCAGGAAAGAGATGGGGGTGGAGGTGGAGGAGAAGGAGTAGGAGACGGAGATGGATGAGTTGGAGTAGAGTACTAAAGATGAAGGCATCGTCATGCGCCACAGTTTGCATTGCACTTGGCCTGCTCGTAATTCTTTCAATCGAACATCGTCCTTTGCCTAAGTGGCAGCTGTTGTTGAATGCCTCCCAAATCAGATCGGAACTGTTTGAAGGGTGTGCGCAAGAGGAGGAGGGGGCAGCAAGTGAAGGGTCTGCTTTGGTTGCATTCGACACGTGTTTATGTTTCAGTTTCTAATTGTTTCCCAATCAGCTGAGCGTTCGACTGATGGCTTTACGAGCTGCTATGTAAATGGGAAATGTGCCTGCTGAGTTCATGACCTAGCCAAGTGGGCTTTTCATAATTCATTGTGGCAGGCAATGCGTTGACTCGTTGACTCCTTTGTGTGTGCCGCACTCTTCTGCCACTTTCAAAATAGACACCGAGATCGACATTAATTAGTTCGCTTTCCGTTTAATGCAATCGCGAGAATTTATATATATATTTTTTCAATTTAAAACGCGTAATTCAATATCCCGCGTAATTTTATTTCTCTTACTGGCAATGGCTTCGCAAGGATGCGGGGTGAGCTCAGTCGGCCAGGATGCACAAAGTGCCTGCCACTCATTGTCAGCTTGCCACATACACGAGTCCACACCGCCCAGCACACCGTTGTCCTCTTCAGCGTGTCCTGTATTCAATTCCGTATTTGCATACCCTGTACAAATAAAATAAATGGGTGAAATGGGTTAATGAACTTATGGAAAAGTAATAAAAAGTAGGCTCCACAAAACATATTTTGTTTATCAATAATTGAGTACATTCTGTGAACATTAAAAGTGGGTTAAAGTAGTTGTTCAAAGTAATAATTGTCTCCCATCTCATATACTATATAGAATCCAGATCAGCAGCAACAATCGAGGCGATTTAGCCTTGTCGAAGAGACTTCAAATTTGGCATAAAAGTTCTCGTATCGCATAAGCAGATCCAGTTTAATTAATGATTTGATCAATAACTGCATCTGTTTCGCGTATATCGATACAAATCGATAAGAATAGAAGCTACAATTGTAAGGATAAAGCCTCTGAATTGATATATAACCTAACCAGACATATTATTGATTAACTGTAGAAGGTTGTAGAAGGAATTGAATATTGATTCGATTTTCTATATAAAGAGACTTTGGCACATATATACAGATATCTACAGTTAAATTGGATTGGATACAGGGCATCTTCAGTGCGGAACAACCTTTTGAATTTGGCGCCGCAGAAAATGTCCAAGCGAAAAAGCTTCGATCGATTGCCAAAGCTTATACATATATATATATATATATATATATGTATGTTATATGTATATGTGTGCCACATATATTTGCCGCAATTGTGACAACAACAACAATGACAACAAGGATGGCAACTGGGCTGCAAAATGAGCCGCTTGATGCACGCGGCTTCAGAGGCTCAGGCGGCATCCAAAGTGACCTGCATTCCAATGGATGCCGTTGCCTCTCAGCCATTTTCCTTTCTTGTTGTTGTTTTTATTTTGTGAAAATTGACGCAGGAAATGCTGCAATGCTTGGTTGCTATTTTTATTGTTGTTGTTGTTGTTGTTGTTGCTGTTGTTTTTGCTGCTTTTTGCTGTTGTCCACTCGAGAGTTCAAAGCTGTTGATGATTTCGGGTCAAGAGTTGAGCAACAACAACAACAACAACTTTGGCTCACTTGTTGTTGCCACTCTTTAAAATTGTCCATTATTTTTGCAGCCTTCTCGCTCTTTCTCAGGCTCTCCCTCTCTCTCTCGCTTGCTGGTTTTAAGTGCTGATCAAATTTCCTGATTGAAGCTTTAAGTGCAGGCCAAAAAGGCAGGGGAGAAGGGACTGAGAGGACTGCACTTGTTGTCCTTTAACAGGATACCAACGGCATGTGTGACAGTTAGAGCGAGAAAGAGAGATAGTCTAAGTGTGGCAGGGAGACAGAGAGAGAGAGAGAGAGAGAGAGAGAGAGAGAGCGAGTGGCAGAGTAATTGCAAAATGAAGCTGAAATGCAACAAATGTGCAAAAAGTATGCTGGTCAGCAGGATAAGGAAGAGGAAGAGACCGTTTTTAATAGAAACTTGAGCCCTGGCCAAAAAGGGAAGTCAATTTAAAAGCAACTGTTTTATTTTAGTTTATTTTTTTCTTTCCGTTTTTCTTTTTTTTTGGGAACTGCCACAAAGTCAACAATGAGGCAGCAACATCATTGAAAACACAAGCAACAACATTTGCCTGGGAACGCAGATGGTTTCCTTTTCGACTTGCCACAAAAACAATGATATTTTATAGTTCTCGGGAAAGTTGATATGCCATAACTCATTGAACTAAATGAAACTGGAGATAATGTTTTTATATTCACCGCAATTGCAGGCATTTTAAATTTGAATTGTTGCCAAATATTTAATATAGCCTAAAATATTCCGTTAGTTGCTTTACTTTAAGACCTTAGCTTGCCTAAAAACTAAAAAATACAAACGAAAAAATATCTAATATTTTTTGCTGTTTGTCTAGGAGTGCTAACAGTTGATCGTGGCCGACTAGACGATACCCTGTATATTCATATCAAGTTAAATTTCAGAGACAATTATAAAAGTTAGACTATAAAGATTTTATAATTTTTAAATAAGCATAATTATCAATTTCAATTCAAAAACAGTTTGAATAGTTAATAATCTGTTTTTTACTGGCTGTAATTTTTTGCTTCACTGCCAAGTTAATATTTAATTGCTCTTTGATCAGCGAGAGTAAATTGAGTAATTATTTAATATATGTGCCAACTTTGAACATTTTTTTATTGAAATGTCTTCTGTCTCATTTTTTGCTTAATTTGCAATGTGTCAGTTGCAAGCGATTTGTTTGCCGCGTTTCGCTTTACTGCGTCCTTTTCTTCTATATGCTGAACATTTTTGCGTACAACAGGAAATTGACTTTTCATCGACAGCAGCAAGAAAAAAGGACAAGTCGATGCCAAAGTAAAAGAAGAAGGGGCAGAAGTCGCTTGCAAGTCCTACGCAAATAATTTCAATTGCAGGCTCGTTGCGCGTCATGCGGCGTTGCCACATTTCGTGAAATGAGCGCAAATAAGCAATGCCATCTTCTTCTTCTTCTTCTACAACCTCAGCTTCAGCTTCAGCTTCTTCGTCTCCAAAGCTGTCAAAAAAGCTTCAGCAACAACTTCCGTTAAGAGCGAACGAGCGAACGTGTGGGCAACAGAATATGTGAAGAGAGCGAAGAGGAGAATGAGGCGAATGAGGATTGGCCCCCCACACCAAAAATCTGCTCAAAAGTTAAGCCATTAGCGAAATGTCCTTTACTTTACTTATAACGCAATTTTCTGCTTCTTTCTTTTCGGCCTGTCCATTGTCTGCTGCTGTTGCTTCGTTAGCGCGAGTTGGAGTTTTGGACACACTGTGCCAAACTGTTGTTGCTGCTGCTGCTGCTGCTTCGGCGCTAAATGACAACTTCACTGTCAGCATTTTACAACTTTCGTCTTGCTGGCCACATACCTCCCCCCCTCCCAACGCACGCTCCCGCTCCCTTCCCATGCGAATCAGCGTTGCCCATTTTTCGGCAGCTAAGCAAAGTTTTTCGGTTGTTCCTCTCTCGGCTGCAGAACCAAAAACTTTACTGCAACGTTAATGAAGTTGAAGAATTTTTTGTTCTTCTTTTAGTTTCCATTATTTTTTTTATGACAGTTTATGAATGGCTGTTTTTTTTTTTGTACAAGTTTTTCATTGTTTTCCACAGGTAACTAAAAATTCGAAATAAGTTGGAAAGAAACATGAAATATTTTTAAATAACATTTCGAGTATTATAAATTTAATATTCATATATTGTAAATGATCTCCTTAAATATCGATAAGTGTCGAACGCGTAACATGCATGAACATGTTTCATCTGGCCAATTATAACAGTCGCAACGATTTATGTTAGCTTCGAAAGTAACAGTGTCAATGTAAATGGCCGCGAGCATCTGTTGTTATTACAGCGCGATTTACTGTCACTGTTAAGCCCGAATAGCAGCAGATAAAATTGAACGAAACTGTAACTTACAGCGGGCACAATAATACCAACCAACAGCAGCATCAGCCACCCGCATATTTCCCCTACGCAGGCTGCAAGCTTTGCCAAAAAAAAACTTGAACGCACTTTTTAACCTTCAAAACTCATCCAGAGAGGCGTTCTCGTTAGGCGTTAGGTTGTGCAGAGACTTGGTTCGGCGGCAGCGCTGCCAGTGCTGCGTCGGCAGCGACGTCATGCGCAGAGCATTCTTAGCGACGGACAAGAAGTCAAACGAGTAAAACAATAACAATGCACGCAGCATCAGCAGCCCTCCCACGACACTTGCGCTCTGCACAATTCTCTCAGCTGCGCTCCCAGCGGCAGCGAAACTTAACGAAGCCTCCTGCTATAGCAGCGCGTTCGCACACACTCTCTTTCTCGCGGGCTCTCTTTCTCTCTCTCTCTCTCACTGTTTGTGTACCGCTCTCGTATCTGGCAGCAGCGTACGCTGTACAGAAAAATATGCTCGCGACGACTTCAGTTTGAAATCGTCGCTCGCTGAATTCACATCGCATTTAAGGCGACCCGCACGCAACGCGGCCGTCGCGCAACAAACAACAAACGACCGTCGAACTCGAACTCGACGCTCAAGTTGAAGTTGAAGTTGAAGCGCAAAGCAAACGCAAATTACACGAAAAAAAGAAGAATTCAAGTACAAATACAAATTTACAGCTCGCCTCGCACCTGTCTCTGTGTGTGCGAGTGCGTGTGTATATGTGTGTGTGCATGTTCTCTTGTCCTGCCTAATTCGTTGTTTCGTTCTTCGTTTTTGTTTTTGTCGCGTGTGTTTTTCAATTGATTTCGTGCAGCACAAAAAAAAAATAAAAAATATTTGCTTAACCAAAAAGAAAATCTTAAGAAAAATATTGCAAGCAGCGCCTCGATTATTGTTCCGTCTAAGACAGCAAAATGTGCGCAAAATAAAAATAAAAAGAAGAAAAGTTGAAAATATTTATTCAATTTGGATCAAAATGTTGGCGCAACAACAACAAAAAGTGCAGTGCATTAAGCCCGAAAAGTGTGTGTGAAAAGAGAGAGAAATTTGATATATTTTCGAAACCATACACAGAGCGATAACTGATAACCGATAACAGATAACAGTTAACTGCAGTCCTTGTTCCCCCTGTTTCTCTGTCTATTTCTATTCGATCCCCCCTCTCTCTCTTTCTATCTCTGTTTCTCTGATCTATTTCTGTCTGTTGCGTGTGTGTCCCGGCTAACGTGGGCAAGCAAAGGCCGCCAAGATTAAGTTCTCAAAGCAGAATCAGCATCACGCATACCGTCACACGGACAGCCTCTACGACGGTGGCACCGACACCGACGACGACGAATGTCCCTTGGAGTCGAGCAACATGAATCCCTACGAGTTTGAGTCCTCCACGCTCGACTGTCGCGACGCTGGCGGTGGCCACGGACCAGGACCCGGTCCAGGACCCGGATCCTATCCCTGCCCCGGCACCCTGCCCATGACGGGTCGCCACACGGCAGCAGGCGGCGCTGGCGGAGTCGGAGGAGTTGGATCAGTTGCTCCCGTGCACAGCCAAACGTTGCAGCATCAACAGAACTCGCTGGCAGCAGCAGCTGCAGCTGCCGCCGCCGCTGCTCAACAGTCGTCCTCCTCGCACTACGATTACGAGTATCAGCATTTGCCACATCGTCCGCCGGATAACAACTCATCAGCGGCAACAACGGCACAGCGAACCCACGGCAGACAAGGTGAATAAACATGAAAGCTTGCAACATTTGTTGTAAGCACTTCAAAAAATATACATTGAAAAATTTCAATATCAAATAAGTTGTAAATAAAATGTTAATATATATATTTAAATTTATATATAAAATGTTAAATAGGATTCTGAATTGAATACTCAATAAAAATCATTAACGGATATAACAAAATAAATACAATAATAAAAATAATATAAATATATAGTAGAAATCCGATATTTTAACTTCTTATTTAGATGAGTAGTTTGTGGAAACAACTCAATGGATGGGTTCCAAGTAAAAGTGAGAACTACATGGATATTTACAGATCCTTGGCGACAATTAAATATACCTGAGTATAATACACCCTCTTCAGTAGTAATAAACCCTCTTTTTAAATACCTGTAAACATGTAGTAATATTCCCTCTAGTCATATATCCTTTTAGTTCCCCCTAATCTCTAGAAAAACTCGAATTTTCTTCATCAAAATGCAGTCTCTCAACACCCACTCAAAAGTTCCTAAAATTGTTTAAAATATACTAACTAAAATCAAATCTGACACAAAGGAAATGATAAATAAAATGTTTGTTGCCTTTCAATTTAGAAAGAAAAATATTGCAATATTTTCCAATTTGTTGCCCTTCTAATGTAACAAATTGAAGTATATTTGCTGGAAATGGAAAATTTTTGCCATTTATTTTGTTCATTTTGAATTGTTAAACTTTTTATATTTTCAGTTTATTGATTATATTTAATTATTGGTAAATAAAGAAAATTATTTGGACCCCGTTTAAGTGCTAAGTATTTCTTTTAAAAAAACATTTGTGGTTCAAAGATGAAAATATTTTGATTAAGCAAAAAGTTTATGAATTGCCTACGGCAGATGAAGACTGAGAAATAAATTTGATTTGAGGTAATTTGATTGACTTTACTAAGAAATTTGATTGTATTTTAATTTATTCAAATAAACCGTTGAAAACCTCTTTACTTTTTCATTGTTGAATCAAATGAATAAAGTGGATTAAATATTGCAAATAGATTATTACTCTTTTAATATATTTATTTATTTATTTGAAACTAGTTTATTATTTATTGACTTGAAAATAAAGAGATTTTCTGTTTTGAATACTTAAACAAATCCATCACTTTTACAACAATTCAAATGCGAATTAATTTTTAGAAACACTTTACTCGCAAATCAAATTTGACAAACATTTAAATTGACAGCAATAAAAATGTTTGTCTTAAATGCAATTTTAGAATTGAGCAAAACAATTTTATTTAAAGTTTTTACTTTGATAAAACACTTTTGAATATGCCACAAAGAAATTATATCGCAAATGAAGTATAAATTTTAATAATCCACAATGCATTTTCTATATATTATATTTCTATATTTATTTCCACATTTAAAAATTATTATTAAAAACTTGTATTTATTATCTGAGTAGATGTCCGCAGGCATTGAATATTTCAAGACAAAATGTGTTTATTTTCAAAAGCAAACACCTCAAATTGAATTCAAATTTCTCAAGAATTGTTGTTGAAAAACAAAGCGAATCCAATTTCTGTTTAATTCAAATTTAGAGAACTTAACTGAATTAATTTAACGGCAAATTTGTAAAATAAACTTAGTAAATCTGCCATTCTTAATTGTGATAATGCCACAAGGATAACTTTAATTGTTTCAATTAAAGTTCAATAATCATTTTTTGGACTAAGCTGGCTGCATTAAGCGATGTGAGCCGGAAGAACTTGCGAAGCCACTGAGCTGGCAAATGAAAATTCCGCAGCTGGTTTTCATTTTGAATTTCATGTTCATAACCCGCTTGAAGCGAGAAAAGCGATAAACTTGCGACAACTTTGAACAAATTAGCGGCGCTTATCGCATCGACAAGCATTTTGCATAAATTAAGCAAATTAGTGAAAAGCCGCGTTGAGCTGGGAAAACTGAAAACTGAAAACGGCAGACTGCGATTGAGATTTGGGATTGAAATTGAGCTGCATGATTTTTCCAGCTGAGCGCACTTTTCATTATTATTTGTCTTCATCTTATTCATAAAATGGCAGCAACAATAGAAATTGGAATCGGAATAGAAATAAAAAGCCTGCAAAATTTTCAAATGCCAGCAAACCAACAGCACCCAACCACTCCATCCCCCCCCACCCAACACCTTATTAAAGAATTTCAAATGCGATGCCTGCGGCTGCGGCGTCAGCCAGCAGAAGGAAAACCAGCTGAGAAGGAAAACCTCGAAAAAATATAATACGCTCGAGCCGAGTTTCAAGTGGAGTTTTGTTACAATTGCCAGCTCGCTCTGTCTCTCTCTCTCTCTCGTCCTTATGCGTATTGTCCTTTGGGTTTGGTTTTCGGTTTGTTTGCTTACTGCCTGCATTTTACATTTCACAGAAGGTACGCCGACTGCGACGACGACGGCGACGGCGTCTGCCTGTCCGCAATCCCCTTATCCTGCCTGCCTGCCTGCCTGCCTCGCTGCCTGTCCTTTTTCTTTAACCGTTATTCACTGCTGCTGCTCGTTTGTCGCTGTGGCAAATTAAATTTAAGCCGCTGCCTGCCACATAAATCCCAGCGACTAGCTCGACTTATCTATGCTATGCCAACCCAAACAACTCTTTTATTTATTGCCAATTTTCACACAGAATAAATTTATCTTTGTTTAGTTTATTTTTTATTTACAAGTATAAATTGCTACCAAAAAAATAAAATAAAATATTATTTGTGTAAATTAAAAGTATGAATTTGTATGTAAAAAGATTCTTGATCAATTTTTATTGTTGGCGATGTTATTCTTAACTTTTTCACACAAACGCTTGTGAAATTTCCATAACTTCCTCTGTTTCACTCCAACTTCATCTACTTCTACTTGGCTGGCTGGCTGGCTGGCTGCCTGTTGGCGTCATAAAAACAATTGCCGAACAATTGAAGCCTAAAACGAGAAACACACACATAAAATCAAGCAACAGCAGCCAGCCAAAAGGAAAGCGTGTGAAAATGGGCAAGGAAAGTGGTGGAGTTGTTGGGGGGCTACCTGAAAAGAGCTTGAGTGGCAAATGCCGCAAAACAAAATTGTAAATTTACAAGAAAAACATCGAAATAAATTTTGTAACTGCAAGCAATAAATTACATAACGGCTACTGCGACAACAACAATAGCAACAACAACTAAAAGAAGCAGAACAAAGCCGCAACAACAACACTGAGGACGACTTTCGGCACTTCACTTTTGGTGAATGAAATAAAATTCAATAAAATGCCTGGCTTATAGATATGGAGTGTGGAGGGGCGAGTGGTGGTAGACGGAGGAGGGGCTATGCGCGGCTCGTAAATTTTGCAACACTTCAACGGGGGCAGCTGGCAAAAAAAAAGAGGCAACCAGGGCCAGCACCTACCCACCTCCACACCCCCAGTCCAGACCCAGCATGTCATAAAAATTCTAAGCGAAAATTGTTCGCCTTCTTTTGGCTTTTTTTTATATTTTTATTATTATCTTGGCATAAAAATACGTCGACTTTGGAAAATGGCAGAGAATTCGCTCTCTGCTGGCAGCTGTTGATGTGTGAAAATTTTGCAAAAAAGAGCACAAAAAAGTATTTGAAATTTCTATATATTTATATATATATATATATATTTATGTATGTTTATTTATGGCTTGTGATTTGCATCACTTGTGTTATTATTACTTTTTTTGTTGTTATTGTTTTCTTTTCGCCACGTCCAATTAGCCAAAATAGCAGTGAGCAATTTTTGGCCACTTTGACTTATTAAAAAAAAAAGAAACAACTTCAGTCAGGGCCAGCTGGCAAAAGTCAAAAGCACGCAACACATTTAACAAATGGAAAGGCAACAAGGTCGCATCGAAATTGGAAACGCTTACACACACACACACACACACACACACACATACATATGCATATGCATATGTATTATCAATTTTCTCACACTGATTTTTCCAGCAGCGCAAAAAGTTTATTTGTTTATGCCACGCCTGATTTGTTTATGGGCTCCCTTCCACATTCAAGTTGCCAGCGAGCAGCTAATGATGCCGCTCCCCCGCAACACACACACACACACACACACATATGCTCTGGTTTATGTACACCTTAGTGGTGGCACCACCGCAGTAGCCACTTTTCAACCACTTCCCAACCACTTTGTCTAATCTGTGTTTATTTTGTTTATTTTTGTACACGAGTTTTTCTTGCGAATTCTTTTTTTGGGTACGGTTCAATTTTAATGCGTTTAGCACTTGCTGCCTTTAGTATTTGAATGTAGCTGAATTTTCTGTATACCCTGTACACACTGATTGCTACAAATTGGGCATACTCGACTCTTGAATTGTGTTGGCAAATGGAGTTGCCTGCCAGCATACCAATTGCTGTTTACAGGGTATCTAAAGCAGTGCGCATTGCATTTGTTTCACTTGTATAAACATCGCACAAATTTGTTCGAGTTGTTTAGATTTGTGCGATAATTATTGTAGGCGGTTGCGGTCGTTTTTTGGATTTGTTTAGTGCTTGCCACGCTGCCACACAGCCTCAGTTGCCCCTTGGCATCGCATGTTTCAACAATTTTGCGCTTGATGTAGTGTTATTGCCCCTCCTCCAGCAGTTGCAACCTTTCACATTGTGTTCTATCCGTTTTGCGTCATAGATAAAACTGACTGTTTATTTCCGATGATGAAAATCGAATGAAAAGTGTTGCAACTAATTTTGAGAGAATTCAATTTCAATTTGTACCTCAAATTCATTCACGTCAACATCAAGCTTTGAATAATATCCAAAATTCATTAAAGATAACTCTTTTTCTTTTGCCCATAGAAAAAGCTGTCTAAACATTTATTTTTAGTTTTTAATTATTCAATTTATTTATTTATTTTTGATTTTTTAAATTGCATCTTAAAATTTTTATTTATTATTTTTTCATTTGCTGCTAATATTCAAATATTTATTCAGCATAAATAAATTTCTTTGGCACTTTCCTATGATTT